TTGGAGAGGGAGGTTATGTTGTGTGTGTGTGTGTTTTTTGTGCTTTGTTCCACTCTCTTTTCAACCATTCCCTCTCCGGACTAGTCCTCTCTCTGTTGAAAATTGGGGTTGTTTGTGGGTGTGGTATTACACTCTCTCTCTTTCGAAATAACACCCAACATTACCCTGTGTATTCTTGTGTTTTGTGTGTGTGTTCCTTTCCCTCCATCTCTATGCAGCCATTCTTCCTGTTAAACCAGTCCTTGTTCACTTGAAAAGTGCTGGTTCGTGGGTTGTGGGTGTGTTATTATTCTATCTTCAACCAACCAGTATCTGCCTCTCTTTCTCTTAATTAATCTTCTCTCTCTCTCTCTCTCTCTATATATATATATATATATATATATATATTATAAAAATGGGGGTTTCTATGGTAGTAACTGCCCCTTCCTTTCTTTTGGCCACCTCTGGTATGAGGTACCCATGTAGGCGGCATCTTATGCCTTTTAAAACCTAGATTATCTGTATCTTGATGCTTCATCTCCTTATCCATGTTATCTTTTATAAATATTATGATTCTTATCTTGTCAATACTTCATTGCAGGTTTCTCTCATTTTGTCGTGTTGGTACGGGTCTTTCGGAAGATGAGCTTGATGTTCTAGTGAATAAATTGAAGCCTTATTTTAGGTAATTCCTGTACATAATGTTTTCCCCAAGTATTTGAGGAAATTTGTTTGCTTCCAAAATTGCTCTCAACTATAAGGCCTTGTTTTGAGTGTCTGCAGAAAAAGGTAACTGTTAAAATATACGTCTTTTTAATCATATTATGTTTCATGCTTATCAGCTTGCATAACTCAGGTTGCTATCCACTCAATGCATATATTTGATATCAATTAATGCATATGACTTTTAGGAATCACTTCAAAGTCTTCTCGATCTTTGTTTTTTGAAGAAAGAAGTAGGCATTTGTTGGCATTTAGTATATCTTTTCTTCATTACAATGACTATGTTTTTCTTTGGGAATGTGTGTTACAGGCGTTGTTTATAAATTGTTCTGTAACCTGGCTTAGTTCCTTTGAAATGATTGGCTTCTGAATGTCTTGATTCTAAGTGCTTCTTCTGGCATAAAATGATATGCCATATATGGTCATTGATATAGCAGGAGAGACTGATCCAGATATAGGTTAAATGGCGAATTTTATCAACTTAGCTTTTATGTTGCTGTTGAATTGTGAGTTTCATGTTAAAGCTCTATGTTCAGTCCAAAGTCTGAATAGTTGTCGGACCTGGATTATGTTTTGATGTGGGAAATGTATTTGAACTTGCATTTGACAAGGGCCATGTCCGTAGGATTACTGGTTGATCTTCCTCATAATTCTGGCTTCTTGATTAATTCACTGGACCTGGAAAGGTCTCGAATATCTGCATAGGTTATTGTTTTTTAATGGCTAAACAGTGTCTGATTGGGCTTAACAACCGATTCTTTGTTCTTTGATTATGTTAAAACTAATGGTGATCTGATTCATGGTTTTGGTGCGAAAATTCCATTTCACAAAATCACACATCTAGATTCCTTCAGAAGACATTTCATTGTAATTCCATTGGGATTGTTTCATGTGATTCTGGTTGCTTCAATGAGTATATGCACGTGTTCTGTTTTGTCACCTAACAAACTCTGCTGTAGTTGAATCATTTGCTGATGCTTCAATAAAATTGGGCATTAGCATGGATTCTTTAGCTGACTATTATAATTATCATCTTTCTGCATATGTATTGGCAGGAAAAATGAGAACCCAAAGAAGGCGCCGAACTTTTATGAGGTGACAAATCATTCCAAGGAAAGACCAGATGTTTGGATTGGCAACCCTGAAAAGTTAGATACTTATGAAGTTCTCTCATTTGCTCTCTTACTAAAAAAAATGTGTTCACTACGATGTCTAACTCTTTATTTATGTTGTACTAGGTCAATTATACTTTCAATCACTAGTGATATAAGAACCATAAAGACAGAGGTTAGTTTTGTTGATTATATCATAAATTTTTTTCCAATGATAGAAGTGCGGGTTTGGCAATTACGGTGTCATATAAAGATGTATCCATTATTCAATTTTCTGTTTTATTTGGTTGTTTTGTGATTAATCTTGCCTTTTGTCTAGGTCTTTGCTTCACCTTATGCTTTGAGATTCCCACGTATTCATCGGGTTCGATATGATAAACCATGGCACGAATGCCTTGATGTACAATGTGAGTAAGTATTTTGTATCCAAAGTATAATAAGCAAAAACTTAGGTTTCATTTAGAAACTCCTTCCATGGTGTGGCTTTGGCACTTTATAGGCCCATTTTGGGATTCATGAACTGATTCTTTTTCCCATTCCCTGTTATGACCTAATTCCTGGATCTCATTCCAAATTTTGGTCCTCTTTGGGAAGTCATGGGAACATTAAATACAAAAAAAGTAAAATGTGGATGTGTGGAATTTGAAAGGACAATTTTTTTTTAAAATAAAGTGAATGTAACATTCTTATTTATATGTTTATTACTTAGATTTTACAAAATTGTAATTATATTTAAAACTGCATCTCACATTGTAGCATTAATCAAGCAAGGGGACCCCTCATCAAGGTGTCTTCAGTTACCAACACATATACCTATGTCCGGCTAAGCGTGGAGTGTGGTACCTCCCTTAGCAATAGAACGTATTTTAGAGGACCTGCAAGTCCCTTACGGACTTGTGATACTATAGGCAATTTAGCTATTCTCTTAATTGGGGAGTTCTTTAGAGCGAAAAACGTATATAAAGGGCACCTCCAACCTTTCCGATCTTGATGGAAGGCGAGGCTAGTGCAGTGTGGAGAGGGCCACCTGTGGGCTAGCAGCAAGACCTTTGGACCGAGATTTTGGGCAAGATAGTGTGGACATATGGCTAAGATGGTGGCACTTGGTACACCACCGAGATCATCAGGCTGAGCCTTGGATTTTGACCCATTGGCAGAATGACACCTAGCTTGGGCAGGTGTGTTGATCCATAATGGTCAAAAATGGGATTTGAGTTTAAATGCTGGGACCACCCCAGACATGGGCTTATGTGACACCCATAAGTCATGTGAAGTGGATAAGTAGTAAGTTAAAATGTAATGGGCCTGTTTGGCAATTAATAGCAGTTGAGCATGTTTTAAAGTATCCGCAAGTCTATCTCAAATCTCTTTCTCTCAGCTGCAATCTTGTGTGTCCACATATGGCTTTGATTGTCATTTTTAGCTCAAATACCTGCTCTGTTTTAGACTAGTGGAAGATGTTGATATGTTTGCTTAGAGATACAGAAGGATATTTCTTCTCAATTTGATTTATGAAGAGCTATCATTGTTGAATGCATTTTTCAATTTCATGATAAAACTTGGAAGATTTTTCTCCTATACTCACCAGTCTCCTAATTTCCTATGAAGGACCTATGGAGGAAGTGACCCCTGTGATCTTTCGACCAGTTCAAACCTTTAGTTTTGTGAAATGACATTTCTGGTTTGGAAACTCCTTAAATTAATTCCAGTCTGCACATCTGAAGGCTCTCACAATCAACAAAGACATCAATATAGGATACAGATACATGTTGGGATGCTTTCCCCCAAGTTTTTTTCATGCAAATTTTTTCGTTTTTGAAGTTTGAAAATTTGATGAATTTGATGCGAGGGGCCCAGCAGAGAGACAGACTCTTCATACAGTGAGGTCTTTCTAACATCATGTTTACACCTTCGCATAGGGAGACAAGCCATTGTTGTTAGATACCTGGAACTTTTCCTTTCCAGTGCATCTCTAGTGATGGCTTACACTTTTAATCATGTTTCATTTTACAATACTTAGGATTTAGTAGTCATCACTTCTTGCCTCTTGTGTTGTACCTGGTCTTTGCTTTTTACAGGGTCCTAGCTGATTGGTCCACCATTTTTGGTTTATGTTTTTTGACAAAGTATAAGCTACTCATCAAATTTCTTGAGCTTCTCTTTGTCCTAACGAATTATTATCTGCTAAGTGATATGTGTATGAAAGTCTACATCTCAAGTTCGATTCCTACTGCTGAACTATAACCACCACCCCCCCCCAAAAAAAAAAAAAGAAAAAAGAAAAAGATGATATGTGCATGAAATTGTATTTCTTTAACATTTTATTCAAAATTTAGGGTCTGTTTGACAGAACGCCAATATCCTAATATTTTAGGATAATATATAATGTATTGTAATTCAAATTATACGAGTTAATATGCCCTGTTTGATAGGGTCAAAATATATCTTTTTATATTCAGATAACCTCCAAATATCTCAATCCCTAGAAATTCAAGTTGTACTTGAATTTTACGGGATTCAGTTGGTGCGTCAAAATCTTTTGCGTCTCTCTCCCTCTCTCATCCACTCTTAACCATCTTTTTTCTCTCTCCCTCTCCTGCCCAACTGCCCCTTTCCTATCATTCAAAGGAAACCCTCTCTCTCTCTCTCTCTCATCAGAGATCCTCTCTCTCCCCCTCAACAGAGACACTCTAAACCCTAATCTCTCTCTCACACTAAGTTCAGCCCCCAGATCTCTCTCTCTCTCTTTGAAGCATTAAAGAGTTGTGTAGAAAGATGAGAATTGTTTCACAGAAGCTTTACATAGTACATCAGTAGCGTCTACAAAACCTCATCATAGAGCAAGGGATCAAACCCTATTTGCTTTCTCTGTTTCATATGTTGTTTTGATTGGTTGCTTCTGAGATTTTGAATACTGCGATGGCCTAGGGGTTTTAATTTGAGGATTAGGTGGTTTGTCCCTTGTTTTGAACAGTTTTAAGCCATTTTTGAGGATTAGGTGGAGTTTGCCCTTATTTTTCTTAACAGTTTTCAGCCATTCTTGAGAGAAATTTTTATTTCTATTTATTTTTTATTTATAGGTTTAAACCATTCTCTACTCATGCTTAAGTGAAGAGAGAGAGAGAGAGAGAGAGAGTACTCTAGACATTAGTATCAGTTTCTCTCTCTACTCTTAATCACTTCACCCATATGCCAAATAAGTTGATCTGTGTTTCTTCTAAGTTTTTCTCAGTCACAATCTTTTTCTTCCTTTTTTGTTTGTTTAATTCATCTTTTTCTCTAGCTTTGTTTAATTCATCTCCTTCTACTGTTGATTTAATTCATCTCCTTTTCATCGTTAAGTTATAGTCCCATTAATTTTCTGGTGTCTTTTTTCATGCAAACTGTGTATATTAGATTCTCAGAGCAAATGAAAGGTGCATTTTTTCTCAGATTTCGTATCTCCTTCAACTTCCATTCCTGTACCAATTGATTGCGAGGTTGGTATTGTCTTCGTGGAACAAAGCCGCCCTCAAATATGTGCCAAATATAAAACAATAATAAGTTCATTTTTTTCAGCCAAAAAGTTTAGAAAATTTCAAATCTATGAACATTTTTAAATACAGTTAGACAATCAAACGTGCACATAAAAAGACATATCATGATAATATAAAATCTAGATATGCAGAAAGCAAGGCAATGCCTTTATTTTGATATCTAAAAGTTTGAATATTCAAATCCTATTTTGTCAAACATACCCTTAATATTTGTTGGAGTGATACATGCACACTTTGTGTGGTTACATCAAGCACAAACTTATAAGAAGTTGACCTTATTCTTCCCTTTACAATACTTGACCAACTTCTGAATTCTATGCAGTCTTTAACTTGTGATATTTAGAGGTTATATTGATTATTTTACCCTGCACTTCTTTGAAAAATAAAGTAATCTATACCCAAAAAATTTCAAAGGACCCTCAAGTCCTGTACGGGCTTTTGCTAGTTTGGGCAATTGAATCCTTCACTAGGTTGACAAACCTATATGAGGGAGTACCTCTGACATTGATCAACCCTCGATGGTAGGCGAGGTTGGTGTTATGCGGAAAGAGGACATGTTTGCACATGTGGGCTCGTAGTAAGGACACTTGGTGCGAGACCTTGGGCAAGATGGTGTAGATAGATGTCTAAGATGGTGGGACTTGATCGACTGCCAAGACCAATAAGCTAAGGTTTTGATGGTTGATTCATGGGTAGCATGACTTAACGAGACATGGGCATGGCCCATGTGCAAGAGGTGTGGATGACCAGGTACTTGGGCTGGGCAGGTGTGTTGACCCATCACTATGAGCTGTGGGATTCGAATTCAGATTGGGGAACTACTTCAGACATGGGCTGGTCACAAGGGCACTATGAGTGCGCAACAACACAAGTAATGGGTCTGGCATTAATAGTCGTGCAATGACCATGCATGTTTGAATAGGCATGCATTTGTGATAAACTGGTAATGACTATTGGAGTGGGCTGACCAGGTTATTAACCATGCCCTTAATGAGCCATGTTGGACAGCTGTTGATGGTGACGTGGGCTTGTCACTACTGCACCAGGTGGTGGGCAAGAATAGTAGTGATTGTCTTAATGGCCATGCAACCAAGGGTAAGTGTGTGCGTGTGTATTCAGTACCTTGCCGGGACCATTGTGGGGCATCAGTGGCTCTATACACCCAAATGTATAAAGCTAATAAGAGTGGACTGAGGGCCTCCTGCGTACTTATGCGTGCCTTTTGTCTTTGTCTCGCTCCATTCCTCTTATGTGTGCTTGCGGAAGGTTAGCTTTGCAGGTTCGGCTTTGGCAAAGCTTGGCGGAGTATAGTAAAAAAATAGCCCCGTGACACCTACCATTCCTCTTACACATTATATAATATATAGGTGTCCTTTGAAATGTTATGCAGATGGAGAAACTGGTCTGAAAGGTTTTAAATCATTTGGGGAATTGCTTGTCTTTGTATTCCATCTTAAGTTTTATGTACAGTGATTCCCTTATTTAACGATTCCATTAATCCCAGGTGTCCTGTTTGGCTGTTTCCCTTTGGGTTATTGTTAAAGTTGCATCCAGTTTCTCAATAATCCTCTTCTTAGGAGCTGAATGAAAAAAATAATTTTTTAGGTAAGTTAAAGGACAGTGGTTTGGATATCCGCAAGCTGCATGAGTGTAACTTAGCTATACTGTCTAAATGGTGGTAGCGATTTCGCAAAACAAAATGTCCACCTCTGGAAACTGGTCATCTAAGCAAAATACAGCCTTGTTGAGTCGGGGTGGCTGCCAAAGTGTCATGAGGTCCTATAGCATTAGCAGCTTGGAAGGGGATTGTTTGGTTTACAAAGATTTCACGTGACATATCCGTTTCATAGCAAGTATGGATCACCGTATTCAACTTTGGAGAGACCTTTGGGCTGGGACTGCACCCTAGATACACTATTCTCAAGCCTATTTTCGGTCTCTTTGGACCCCAACTTTCTCATTTCAGATTCCTATGAGGTAATTGGGGGACAGCTTGTTTTAGGAGAAATCTGTGGGTCTTGGTGACCACCCCTTTATTGTCATCTTTTCTCTACTACATTACAATCAGTTCATACTTCAGTAGGGTTTTGACAAACTGGTTTGGGCGCCTGACCTCAGGTTGCTTTACAATCTCCTCTATATAAATTGTCTCTACCTCCGCCAATGTTGGCCGAACCATTACTTTCAGGGCCTCATCCAGTCCTACCTCCCAGGCGTTCCAAGCTTTCGCATAGTTGCTTCTTTCGAAGAGAGTGTTAACTCTAGATGAGATGCAAAAAAAGGATGTTCCCATTTCCAATCGTTGTGTCCTGTTTAGAGAAGAGGAAGAGACTAAGACAATCTTTTTATTCACTGGCTAGTGACTGTACAAGTGCGGGGGTTTGTGCATGTTTGAGTGGGTGTAGGTGTGGTGACAGAATGCATGGCGACTGTTTTCAGCCTATTTCACGCCCTTTTCAAAGGCAGGGTTATTCCTGTGGCTTGCCTCTTTTATGGCACTAATTGGTGTATTTGGTTTGAATGTAATCACTGTATATTCAAGGGTGAGGATTTGAGCCCGCAAGAGTTGAAGGACAGGATAAGGTCCTTGGTGTATTTTGGGCCTACTGCAGCGATGTGGGGTGGTTTACCTCTGATTTGAACAGAACTGATGTCTTTTTTGAAATGCCAGGCTGATGGTGATCACTATATAGGTGGTGTTATTAGAAATAGCCTCTGTCAGTGTCTCCTTTCATGATTCAGGCTCTTTCCTGGTCGTGAATTCGACCATGGCAGAGTCGTTATGCCTGCATGGAAGTGAAATTATTCAACCAAAGTTGTGGTGGAACACTTCATGTGGAAGTAGAGTTGATGAAGGTGATCTGTTGGGCCTCTAAAGAGGTCTATGTCCTTGGAACTTAAAACAAACTCAAGCGGCAGCCTTAATTGAACAATAGTCATACTTTTTTCGATCATACTTGGTATGAAAGGAGCCCAGTGGCTGCCTTGTTAGCAAAGAAGGTGACTCGATCAATACCTTCACCATTATTATGATTGACTCATGATTTGGACTTTTGTACTTTCGACAACTTTAAAAAGTTTCTTTTGTATAAAGCTTCGGTCTTTGGTATGTAATCCCAGCCTTGGGCACTCATCCTGTTACAAGATTTTTGATACATTCACTTACAATTATCAGTACAAAATTTACTTTATTCAAAATAAAAAATCACTCTTTGGAAAAATAATGACAAAGGGTAATTTTGTTCATTTTTTCGAGGACACCTTGAATCCCAGGTCTGTCCTGAGGCTATTGTTATGATCGTAGAATTCCTTTATTAGGAACTTTTGGGGGAAAAAAAATTCACTTGTTGGGAGCACAGTGACAAAGGGTAATTGTATTCATTTCTTATCATGAACTGAAGCTGCTTCTCCATTCTTTTGTTTCTTAGACATACGTTACATTGATTCCTTCTTTGACAGCTATACTGCTACTGTAAAATGTTCCAAGGCCCCTCTGGATTTGTGCTGTGCATGCAGTGTGCATATCATGGCATGCATGCACATGCTAGGAAGTGTATGCTTGATGTTAATAGTCTTTCGTCAGTAATGCGCTTTTGTAGTTAGTGACTCTCTGTGTAGTACTCTTTTTTTTATGCATTGGATACTCCTGTAACTGATAGTCAGGATTTATTTGGGCAGCATTCGTTGACTTGGTACATTCCAAAGATGGCACCATGCAAAGAGATATGGAGCCCGGGGGCTTGAATAATAAAGGACCAAAACGTAAAAGGCCATTGAGAAAAGGACCCAATAAGATGACCACAGTCGTGCCTTCTCATTTCATTCAAACAGACATCTCCAGAGTCAAGGAAGAGAGTTTACTGTTTACAAACATGATGTTCTGTATCCCTAATAGTTTTCATCACACTGCAGTATGGCTTCGTAAAGTGTTTTATGTTGCATGAGATCTCTTCCATGTCTCTCCAATTGCGTGTCACATTGATGTCAAAACTAACTTTGGGGAACCTCACCTTTGCGACCATGGTTTTCAAATCTTAAAAAATGCCACCATTATTTGAGGTTTTGCAAAATACCACCCAAGTTTCACTCAAAATTGATTACTGCTGCCTTGTTCAAAATTTTATCACTTTCTTCAAAAACTTATGTTTTCCATTTTTCAGGTATTCGAACCCAACCCGTCTCTCTCTAGCATTGTGTTATCACAGATTGTTTCCTCAAACTATCTTTAGTATTTTGTGTTTGGTGAAATCAAGAATCACAGATTGTTTCCTCAAAGTAATAATAGAATTCTCTACCAGGAAGAATGAAATATAAAAGAATGGGTATTGGGAAGCGGCAGATTCTTCATTTCTTCTCCAAAATCACATATTAATTAAAGTAAATTTTATCATATTGCTATTGTTGATATTTAGAGTCCTCCCGGTTATTGATTTGTAATTTCTTAATTCAAAAGAGATATATTACAATTATACAATCTAATATTCTTTTTCTCTTGCAATTAGGTATTAATTTGATATTTAAGTATTAATTTGATATCAAGGCCGTCTTTACTCAACCCTTTCTTCCTGGGGTGTGGGTTGGGGGGAGCGGAGAGATGAAGGGTGAGAGGGTATGTCGGGGGAGGGAGGGAATGAAGGAGTTTATGAAAGAGAGTTATACGTATTTGGGGTTTAAGTAGATACTAGATAGAGAGGGCCAAAGGGGGGGTGTATGAAATAGGGTAGAGAGAGCTAATATGGTAGAGAGAGCTATATGAAAATTGGGCTTGAGTAGATGGAAAAGGCCAAAGAATTTGTGGTTTCGGTGAACAGAGATGGTTAAATGGTTCATGGTTGGGGAGAGTGTTTCAGTGTGGAAATAGGGAGCTGATGTATTATGGTTTAGAATCAGAAGCAATGTAAACACCGCTAAGCAATGGGTGTGACCACTGGTTATTATAGGATAAGAAAAAGGGCATTGATATCGAATAATACAGTAAAATATTTTCATGGAAGATTAGTTCAACTTTGATTGCAATTTTGATAAACGGAAAACAAAGGTGGCATTTGTGGAGTTGCTAGAAACTATAGTATTAAAATTGTGTTTTTCTTTTTCTTAATGTCTCTTGAAAACAATATTGGCAATGACCATTCTCTCTATTCAGTTTTTTTAATATTTGCTCTTGTTGTTTGCCTTGTCTCTGGTTTTGTCGACTATGTTAAAGCATTTTTCCCATTTCAGTCGTGCACGTTTGATTTTCACAGCATATTCCCATATAATTTGTTGTCTTAGATGATTTTTAATATTTCTGTTTTTTAGGATGATGATGATTTTGTCCCTTACCTTGACTTTCATAGACTTTGTAAATGTTCCTCCCACGTATTCTGTGGATTTCTTTCATAAAATGGTTGTTGAGAATGGGGGCAGTTTCTCAATGAATCTGAATGATTCTGTAACTCACTGCATAGCAGCTGAGAGGAAAGGTATGTTATGCAATTTCAGTTCTTCTGGATGTTGTTAGTTGGGCTTTATCAAATATCTGATCACCCTTAGATAAATATTGTAGGGATCAAATACCAAGCTGCAGTGCTTCGTGGAGATGTCCTACACTACTCATGGGTTTTGGATTGTTACTCACAAAAGCAGCTCTTGCATTTGCAACCAAAGTTTGTGATTCTATCCAAACTGGCAACTTGTTCTCTGAGACTTATGTCTTGTTTTTATTTCTTTTGTGGTATCTTTCTGCAAAAAATGATGCTGTTCTCGTACATCAGGTATTACCTGTTTCTTTCAGACTCTTCTAAGAAGAAATTAAAAGAAGAGATCGATGCCTTTTCAGATTACTATTACTGGGATCTGGATGTTACCGACCTTAGGGAGGTATGCTTATTGGTGGATTTTACGAATTTATTTTTTAAGGTTTTAAAAACATAACTGTGGGAGCAGTTCTTTTGAGTTTGAAGTGTATGGCTTAGGATACACGTGCATGATAAAAATTGCAGTTAAATAAATGCTCTTGTAGGTTTATGAATGTTGGAAAGAAAAAAAGAAGTGTTTTGTACCACAAAATCTTTTTTGTGAATAGTCTATCAGTTTTAAATCCCTAGAATACTTGAATTGCAATAGCACGTTTACTTCACCATTGATAAATTAAATTCGTTGAAGACGACTAGTGCACAATTTTTTAGAGTAATGCCAGTTTGTTGGCTTGCACGTTTTGTTTCAAAGGGCTAGTCAACAAGTCACATTGTGTTTGTGATGGTTTAACAGCAAAATTGGTTGCTGATTTTTAATTCCCTATGTCTCAATATATGCTATGTTGGGATTCTTGTTTGAGTCTATTTCTTCTAATTACTTGTACATAACATTTGGTAAAAGGCAAGCATAAATAATTGCAGGTGCCTTTTATCATTCTTTCCACCTTTTTTCTTCCCACCCCAACATCGCCCCCCAAAGGAAAAAAAAAAGAACTCAACTTTTAGGTGTTTATCCATCTATACTTGGCATTTGTGATTGCATTGGTTGAATGCTATGGTTGATCACTTTTCTTCCTTACTGGCAATTTCTCTAGCTCTTCAATAAGATAGACAAAGTGGATGACTCTAAATACTCAACTTCTAGGTGTTTATCCATCTATATTTGGCATTTGTGATTGCATTGGTTGTATGCTATGGTTGATCAGTAATCTCCCTTACTGGCAATTTCTCTAGCTCTTCAATAAGATGGACAAAGTGGATGACTCAAAAGAATTTGCTTTCTATAAGAAGAAATGCTGCCCAAGTGAAAAATGGTGCCAATTCCAGGATTGCTGCATCTACATTT